AGTTCCTCTAACTGTAGATTCTTACCAGAAGAGACACGCTCACTCCACCAGCAGACTCTCCAAATATAGTAACTAATCCTGGGTCTCCTCCAAAGCTGTGAATGTGCTGCTGGATCCACCTGAGAGCTTCAATCTGATCGAGCAGGCCAAAGTTCCCTGAAATGTGCTCATCTCCAGTGCTGATAAAACAAAGAGTTGAATGGCATACTAAGCTACATTTAGAGTAGGTGAAGGTGAGCAGTCTTTGAAAATGGAAAAGAACAGGACAACAGTATGTTCTAATTTGGTAACTTAAGTTTATTTACCTGAGAAACCCCAGAAGTCCCAAGCGATACTGGATCAGAACCACAACCACGTCCTGGTAAGCAGCCAGGGCAGATCCATCATATGTTGAAGCTGATCCTACTGTGAGGCCTCCACCATGGATCCAGACCATGACCTGGAAAAAAATAATCAAAGATATTTTGGATTCTTCATTCTTATTTTTCCTTCAAATCAATTTTTGTGCCTGCTAAGCACACTGCATGAGTCTCAATTAATAAGTATTAAATTAATGTTTAAGATAAACAAAAAATATTTGGGTATAAAGGCAAACCCATTGCAACTGGCTCTAAAAGGGGGTGTTTTTTTGTCATATGAAAATCCTTAAAAGGAAACCAACTGTCACTGAAAATTTCTTCAGCAATGACCAGCAAGGCTCAAAACCTACAGCAAAAGGTTCTTACTGGGAGCTGGGCATCATCAGCTCTGTTAGCAGGAGTGTAAATGTTGAGGTAAAGGCAGTCTTCAGAGATGTCTGGGATATCAGCCAACAAGAAACCAAGTTTATCAAGCAGTGCCAAAGCAAATCGTTCAGGTTGTATGCACCTGAAAAATAAAAACATTTAATAAATGCTGGATGTTTTTCAAACTGTGTTTTACAACAACTGAAGCACATGTTTCTTACATTGGTGGCTGTTTAGTGGCATATCTTACTCCTTCCCATCTTTCTGCAGGCTGAGGTGGAGCCAGTCTCAAGGAAGGGCCGAGGGGTGGTTTAGCAAATGGGACACCCAGGTAGGCATGGACGCCAGTCTCCTTCCCTTTCACACTCACATACTCACCTTTCAGGCTCCCGAGCTTTGTGTGGACTAC